TGTGGTTAGTAGTCTCATCTTTGGGGTCAACACATAACGTACTTTCATTTATGATAACAAATTAAGATATTAATTGAGAAGAGAGTAACCAACAATAATATTGATTGTTACCTTTGATGCCTCTGTAAGTGATGATTCAACTTTCATGTGGTACTGTTTATTATGCTGTACAAGGTGATTCTAACTTTTAAGTATGTGGGTGAAACCCTAGTGTGTGACCATTCAAATGAAAGCTATTGAGCTGTCCTTTCATGTGATACCATTTATTATGCTGTATGTACAAGGTAGGTTTGATTTCTAAGTTTGTGGATAAACCCTGGTGTGTAACCATTTATATTATTTAATATTTATTTGTATAATTTTATCACGGCTGTAAAAATTAAGATGGGGACCATAGACCATGTATTTTGATTACATTTACCTGGATTAGGTGGGGTTATGGTCTCACTGGACATACTGGTCAAATTTTCAGGAGTGGCAGGTCTGGGAGCATTCTTCCCTTTAGCAGGTTCTGTCTTATTTGCAACACTGCTACGTCTGCGCACAGGTGTGGGAACCGTCTTGGTGCTATCCTTTGGTGTGGCACTTCCTCTCCTTCTAGGAGTTACTGGCACTTCAGATTTTTTTGCTCTGGTTGGGGTTTGTACACATTTAACCGGTTGCCCTGTTGAAAAACTGCTTCTTTTCCCAGTTGCAGTACTTGGCTTCACAGGGGTGGTAAATGACTTTGATCGCTGAATATTACTAGGTGTCTGGGGTCTACTGACCCCCTGCTCTGTGGATATGCCACTCAGTCGACGCCCAGGGGTGCTCCTTAACACCTTACTAGATTTATAAGGGTCACTGGGTGTCCGAGGTGCTTTTTTGCTAATCCCTGGCGGTGCAAGTGCCTTAACAGGCTGGGGTCGCCCTTTGGGCTTGGTAAATGTTGGTTTTGACAATGCATTAGTCCCGTTTACAGGTTTCAAACTGGCCTTAGTGGTTGGCACTTTACGAGGGCAGACATTTGGAATAGATGGGATGTCAGAGGATGAACCCTTTGTAATGACAAAAGTCTCATTCAGATCATTTGATTGATACGATAAAGCACTTGAAGTCGAGGACACAGACGATGTGGAGCTGGTCCGGCGTCGACGAGGCTGGACACCAAACCCTGGAGGTCTTATTCCACTTTGAGAAGGAAGTGGTAACTGTAAAGCATCAAGTAAATTGTCAGGCCATTCATTCTCAGGAGTTCAATACAAAACATCATCAGGGGAAAATCAGGCACAGAGATGTCTCAAGACTACTGCCAAGACCACCTTCAGTGTGAATAAATGGGCTGTTCTTTCACATTCCCCAAACACCTGTGACGTGTGGCTAGTAGTCTCATCTTTGGGGTCAACACATAACGTACTTTCATTAATGATTTAAAAAATTAACATGTTAATTGAGAAGAGAGTATTGATTGTTACCTTTGATGCCTCTGTAAGTGATGATTCAACTTTACTGGAACCTCCAACATTGTTACTTTTGCTGTTAACAATACAAGTTCAATTAACACACTAATAGCAAGTTCATTTAAATTGATAATCATTCATGGACTTTACTCTATATTATGTACAGTGACAACTACTATTCATCTTAGGTGTGTTTTCTCTTTATGCACAGTACTTTACTATAAATAATAATTACTGACAATACATTAATACTGTACATTAATACTGCAATACATTAAGTAAAAAGGCAAAATAAACAGAATGAAGAAATGAAACAGAATGAATTTGGACTGGACCTGCTAATTTGAACTCAATTATTCTCGACTGAATTCTCCATAATTTGTACTCAAACCCATATCTCTTGGATTTGACCTCATTTTTCAGTCACTAACGATTAGCTATTTATCCCTCGGTTATTTTGAATTCCCTTCTATTCTGAACTGATTTTTTTTTTCAACCCTGGACTTAAAGTCAACCCCATTTATTTTGAACTCCATTCTAAGAGTTGAAAAATTAACATCATCATGACGTTATTCCATATCCACAATAGGCGCAAATGGCTATGTTTTAGTTCAAAATGAAATTCATGTTAAAATGAAATTCCTTTGTCTCTTAACCCTAATTATTTATGAATCGTGAATGATTATGGGTTAGAAGACAAAGGAAATTGAGAATCAAACCAGGTTAAATCATTTTAACCTGAATTTCATTTTGACCCACAACAGCTACATTTTGGACAAGAACTTAACATACCTTGCTCCCTTTGAGGTCTTGAAAGATGTGGCCTCATCAACCTAAAGTTGAAAAACTTTAAATGTAGGAATATCGACTATACAAGCATCCTTGCAAGTATAAATAGAGCGCATCATGAAGACATGTATATTGGACAGGCACAATAATTACCAACAGTATTTACACCATCACATACCTTTTAGTGTGTTTGAATTTTAATGAAAGGTGAACTCAGTCAAAAGAAAATTTATTACAACTCTTTATAAAAATTTTGTTCTAAATTTGTAATTTTTTATTTACCTTGATATCTGCTGCTATTCCATAGAGATGTTCCACTTTTATAGGCTGCAATGAAGGTGACAAAAAACCTTTTTTCTCTAATATGCATGTTTACCTGGTAAGAGACTGTGTAGGAGATATTGGGAATTTTATGTACTAAGCCTTTGTTACAGGCAAGGGCTTGGATGCTGTCCTTTCACAATCTTCTATTATAATACATTGAGTTTAGCAGATTACATCTTGAGTGAACTAAGAAATTTGTTTGATAGACTGAGGCTAATACCATCACCTGTATCTAAGCATGAACACATGATGTCAAAGCATGCTTTAATTGGGTGTCAAACATGGCATGATTGGTCAACAGACATTTGAAGTTTCACAGACCGTAATGCAAACTTTTCCACTCAAAATGTTCACCATAAAAAAATATGGGCGAAATCAATATATTTTCAATTCATGGTTATAATAGAAGTAAAACCACTTTCATGAAAGGGGTATGCATATTGACACAGGTCAGGGTCAATTCCTCTGAAGAAGTCTCCAATGTCCAATCTTTCTACCATTTCATGTGCTGAACTTTTAGTGCCAAAGTTTGCACCATGATCTGCTAAACTTCAAATAATGTTTGATGAACAACCATGCCACGTTCGACACCCAATAATTAGAGCATTTTTCAACGTCACATGTTCACATTTAGATGCAAGCTACGGAAATTTTGCAGTCAGGCGAGTGGATTCTGTCTTCACTTACCCTACAAGCAAGTGAAGTTTCTTGGGAAAATGTTTAAGGAAATTCAAATAAATGGGCCAATTTCAATATATTTAAATTCAAACTTGGCTCCGAGGCTTTTGGGAATAACACAAAAGAAATCACATCCAGGTTTAGGGATGTTAATACAAATATATCGAAATTGGCCTATTGCACACTCAAGTAATGTATGGAGGCTGTTGAGAATGACTTTTAGACTTGTTTAAAGCCCACCCAAAGGTCATGTCCAAAAATGCACCCTGCTACATGCATGTGTTGTAAACATCAAGCACTTGCTTTCTACTTCTTTTACAGAATAAGGCCTCTCAAAATACAAGGATAGGTACAAACAGTGATCACAAAGTTAAACATGACTTAATGCAAAATGACTTTTTGAACTATCAGAATTATAGCAACCAGAAGGCAAGTTCTACAGGTTTCAGGTAAATGCACACGACAAGCCACCGCTACATACTACTATATATTACTCTACAAGACAGTATATATTTAAACTTAGGATTGAGGATAATTTTCAGTCTTAAGAGCAATGTGCTCCCGATGGTCTATCAGCGAATAGACAATGAAATAGAGAACCAATAAGTTTCATGGATTTCCAATAGAACACAGCTTAGCTAGTACCATTATTTTATAATTTGTCCGTTTTTCTTCAGCTATACTTACAGAATTAAAACAGCTACGCGTCTTCAATGTCATTTGTGTCTTAGGAAGCTTGGAACGTGTAAACTTGGAAACATTCTGCAGTGGGCGTGCTTTTCTTGCTTTGAATGGTGATTGAAACCCTGCATCCTGGGAATTCTTCTCTTGCAAGATGCGTCTTGGCGTGCTTGGAATAACCATGTCATCTGACAATTCTGCTGGCTGTGGTGAAATGCTGTCTACTGACTCGGGAGAAGATTCTGATTTTGCAGTTCTTGGGCCATTTTCTTGACCTGGTTTCATTAACGTGTTCTCCTGATCTTCATCAACACTGAATGTTTTTGATAAAATTTTGCAAATTTCCTTGTTTTCCCTTTGATCAGTCATCATGTCTTCACTTCCAAGACTCTGATTCAAAGAGGAGCTTTTGATAAATATTGATACTGCAGTTGCTTCCTTAAAAAGTTCAGCAATTTGTTCACTGTTGAGTGGACTCATAGGTTTGAAATTCTCGTCACTTAGGAGACCACTGTTAACACATCTTTCTCTGTGGCCGACTGGGCCAAAGAATACCTCATCTTCATCCTCTAAATCATTGCTGCAGATCTCTCTGGTAAAGAATAACAAAGAAAGGTTACCATGCATTGCAATGCATTCAGTTACTGTAACCTTGAGCTTCAAGAACAAAGCTTCCCTACTCAGAACTCCAAACATTTCACTATGCACTGTATGCAATATTTACACACTGCACTAGATGACAGGTCCTTAGCAAAACAGTTAATTTTGTTTCCCTATAATTTAAATGTTTCCCCTAGCTCCACCTCAGATAAAATTGCATTGAACTGTAAAGGAACAGTTTTACTGTATTTCACTCAAATGGATTTGAACTTGAATAGGGTTAGTGTACATCGGCATACAATGGAAAAGAAGCTTAAGCTTATGTATGTACAATTTAACTGCTTGTGTTGAATAGAAAATTCACTTACCTCTCGCCACAATCATTCGGAGAGACTGGTATGTCAAAGTCGAATTTCTCGTCTTCTATCAAACCGGACCCGCTAGATGGAAACGCTACACATGGATGAAAATACACAAAATTCAATTCAAAGCTTACCGAGCTGTCGAAACTAAGTCTATCAAAACA